CAACTTTTTGTAATCATCATTGTTGAATCAACAAAGATAGATCTCTTAGTTATCAACAACTTTTCCTCTTTTCCTCTTTTGCTCGTACAAGTACGGTACAAATATATCAAAGATGTAAGCTTATTATTTACATTTGATCTCTGTCAATCATCTTAAGGAATCTTATCTAAACTTGGCTTTCTTCGATTGTGATATTTAATATATTTGGATTTAGAGTTAATTATGTTTGGCTAAGATTTACCTTTTATCATGTATCTCATCATTAATTAGTTTAACTAAAAGGTTTAACACTTTTTTGATCAAACACAAGTAAAAACTACTTTTTGGTTTTTGAAAAACTCATCTTCAAAAAAAAAAAAAGTTGAAAAACGTCCCAAATGAACAAACAAAATTTTCAATTTTCTTTTTGAAAAAGGTCAAAATTTTGTAAGGACACACACCTCAATGGTCTATTCATATTTGCACCTGTCTCACATTAAGCTCTACACCATATCGTCTCTAGGACTAGGATTAAACGCAATATAAAAGGCACATCACACAAGAAGGTAGAATTCTATAGTGCAACTAATCATTATTATGGTACACTTTGTTCAAGAAATGTTAGATTTTTTTATTAGACAACAGAGAGTTCACGATTATATTTCATGTTTATATCAAACTACACATAATTGAATGAATCTTTATTAAAAAGGAAAGGTCTCAAAGGAAGTAAGTTGCATTTACTGATAATACATGTGAGTTTGCTAGAAACATTTCTTTTTGGTCGGCAAAAAGGTTCACAAACGTATACTAATAAATTTATTTAAAAAATATATTTAATGTGTGCACGTATAAAATTTTAGAACCTCTGCAATTACGCATTCAAATAATTATACAAATTGAATTGTAATAATAAATCGACACTACTTATATGTCGGTAAAACCATTTAGTTGGTACACTAATTGGGTTAGCCGAAATGTGCTTCTCAGAAATCTTGTGAATGAGCCAAAGAAGAATGTTGATGGTAACAATTTTTGAAAGGTGGTTTTATTCTCCTACTTATTGCTAATAGTCAACCTAAATTTTGAGTATAAAGAGTTTAGCTGGAAGATAATAAGCAAAATAACTAACAAATGTTCATACTTGTCCTCCCTAATTGCGATGTAGGTGGATACCAGAGACATTCTGCACCGTTGGTGCCATTTGATTATGATGTTTCCAATATCTTCCTCAACTAAAAAGAGGGGAAAACACACAAAAAAGAGTTGTTTATGTAATTAGACGTCTCTTCCTCATGAAATCCAAATATGAGTGGCAAACGGGCGTGTCATATGGTTCGGGTCGAAAATGAGTAATAAAAAAAGGATAAATTATCCGACCCAACCCATATTTAATACGGATAAAAAATGAGTTAACCGGCGAATAATATGGGTAAACATATTGTCCATGACTTCTTGCATATGATCACTTTTGGGAGACTTCTTAGTCTCCCTAACTTGAGAAACCCCGAAGCTTTACAAATGTAAAAGTTAAATCCATTAGTTACCCATTGGTTATCCATTTAGAAAATGAATAATATGGTTCTTATTCATATTTGATCCGTTTTTAAAAAGTTCATTATCCAACCCATTTTTTAGTGAATAATATGGATGATTAACTATTTTCTTTTAACTATTTTGCCACCCCTAAATCCAAATAATATTGTAATATATTATAAGAATGAATGCATGATTTCTTCAGTTTTAGTGTCTTGAAATTTGAACTAACTAAAGTTTAGGACATCAAAACTGTACTCCCAAGAGAGTTGAAACTGAAAAACGGTGTGTCTTAAAGTTGCATTAAGAGCCTTTTTGCTTTGGTTCAATAAACACATCCGTTTCTCTTGTTGTTATATGGTATGAAGAGCCTCAACAAACTCTCACGAGTGAAATTCTATATCTTTTCTCTCTCCCACCCACCCTTCACAAATGGCTAACACTACTGGAGTTGTTAATGCTGATAACAATAGTAGTGTGATAGTCGTCCAATTTAATCCTGCATCACAATTGTCAATAAAATTACAAGGCAGCAAAAACTTTGCAGCGTGGAAGGCATAATTTTCCATGCTTATGCATGGTCATGTTCTTTATGATCATCTAGATGGGTCTACTCCTGCTCCATCTCGCACTATCACAACTGACATAATCTTTAGTGTCAATCTTATATTTGCTCTTTGGTTTCGTCAAGATCAACTCATCAAAACGCACTTATGACATCTGTTGATCCAACAATTGCCACTGATGCTGCAGCTGCTGATTTAACAAAAAATGTTTGTGATGCATTGTATACTGCATATGCGAACAAGTCCCAAACTAGAATTTTCAGTCTACACGATCAACTTACGAGACTCACAAAAACCCCAGCCAGTCACTGAATATTTGCAAAATATTCGATCCATAGCTGACGAACTCTCTACTGCTAGTGCCCATTACAAACTCTAAGGTCATTGTTAAGATCCTGAGTGGTCTGGGACTAGAGTTTCGTGAGATTTCTACTGCAATTCATGCTTGTGACTCCACTATTACGTATGAAGAACTCTATGAGAAGCTTCTTTATTATGAGCTTTTCCTTAGACATAAAGAGTCAAAGAAAGCTCTTAGCCACATTATTGTTGTTGTTGCTACATTCAACAAATCTGGAAACTCGAACAATTGCAACAATCGTTGCTCCAACAATAATAATGGCAGCAACCAACGAGATACAACAATCTACTTAATTCAAAAAATCAGTGGCGATCTTCGAACACCAATAACTCTTTTGATGGAATTCGCTGCCAGTTGTGCAACCAACCAGGTCATGTTGTAAGTGTATGCAGATCCAAATCTCACAATCATTTTGAGGCCAAGGCCAACTATGTTTCGGGAATCCACGCATCAGCAAATCCTTGGATTCTCGACTCTGGAGCATCTCACCACATAACTGATAATCCTCGCAACTTGTAGGAATACTATAGCTTGGAGCAGGTCTTCATTGGTGATGGTAATAAAATACTAATAACCCACACCGGTTTAACTCAATTACATGTATCAAATAATGCTTTCAAACTTTCTAGCACTCTCTGTGCTCCTAGCATTAAACACAGCTTACTCTCCGTCTCTTAATTTTGTCAAGATAACCTAATCTCTATTGAATTCTTTCCTTTTAATTTTTCTGTGAAGGACTTGGAAAATGCGGACTCTGTTAGTGCACGATCGGAGTATATACAGTTTCTATGAGCGACCAACCTCACCTTTCATATCTTCTCCTAAAGCGCATTTGGCCTCCGCCAACACATCCATCTTCACTTGTCATCATCGATTGGGTCATCTGCACGCAATAGTTTTAAATATTGCTTTGAATAAATTCTTCCTACTTTTCTTGTGAGACATTTTTAGTTCCTAATTTTCGTTCATCGAATAAGTCTCATCACCATCTTTTCAGCCTCTTACTTTATCAAGTACCAAACCATTCCAAACAAATTTCGTAATTTATTGGATTCTTCTCCGGTTTTATCGATTGACAAAAAATTATACTATTGCGTTTTTGTTGATCAATACACCAAATATACTTGACTATATATATTAAAAAATAAATATGAGGTTAAAGACCTTTTCAAAAATTATTAAGTATTAATGGAACATCGTTTCAATACAAAAATGCTTTCTATATATATAAATCGTAGTGGCAAATATAAAAGTCTTGATCCATACCTAAGTTCTTAGGGTATTGAATATCTTTTATCTTCTCCATACACTCCGCAAAGAGTCACTCTTGCCGAAAGACGTCACAAATATATTATTAAAACGGCAAGAACTTTACTTCATGAAAGCTTCGCTTCCACCGACTCTTTGGTTTTTTGCTTGTCAACATGCGTGTACCTTATAAATCGCTTTCCAACCTCACTTTTACAAAATAAATCACCTTTTTAAATATTATTTGGTAACGATCCAGATTATAATTCTTTAAAAAAAATCGGGTGTCTCTGTTAGTCCTTGCTTAAACCTTATTCAAAAAATAAGTTAGAGTCATAGTCAATACCTTGTGTGTATTTAGGTTATTCTTTAAATCATTATTGTCATCAATGCTTTGATCCGAAGTCTTTCAAAATATATTTCTCTCGATATGTAAATTTTTTTAAAAATAATTTTCCTTTTTAGAATATATTTTCAAATATTTCCTTAAATTTTAAAACCCTTGTGTGGGAAAATCTAACTGAAACTAACCCCTACAAAATCTCCTACTGTTTTTTCTCCCATAATCAGTGAATTACCCAACCGTATACTTATCCCAAATACAGAAAAAACCAACGCGCATAAAGACATTGTCTCCTCTAACAGAATTTACAACTACAGGTACGACTTCTACTTCTCCTCTTACAAATTTTGTTATTCCTCCTGATCTTAATGATACCCAATTTTATCCCCCGTTTTCATCCCTAACAGTTATCCCAAGAAATTCAAATGTCTCCTTTCCTCCACAATTACTATGTACGTTATCACCACTCTTTTCCTTATCAACTATATATTCTCAACAACCATTCACCTCAGTCCAACAAACTCAACCATCATTTTTTCCAATTGTATACAGTCACATAATGACAAAAATGATATATACTAGCCAAACCTTTGTTGATCGTACCACTGCCTCAACTCTGGAACCCCCACAACCTTCCCCCGAACTCGTTCCAGTCACTGAACCACAACAACCTTCTCTCTCTCCTCCAAATCATGTTGTGACTCATTCACAGAATAACATTCACAAACCTAATATTATCCTTGACTTCATGAGTCACTTATCCCTCATCAGCATCCCTACCAGTTTTAAACAAGTTAACAAAGACCAGAGTAGCATAGAGTAATTAAAAGTAGGGTTGTTCAAAATCGAACCGAAATTGTTAACCGAACCTAACCGATGGCTTATTAATATTGGATTATCGGAGTAATGGATAATGAACGGATTGATATTGTATAATCAATGGCTTAGAGGTTTGAGGGCGGATTACTCAATTTTTTTATTGGATAAATCTTTAACCCGTTAAGGATTTTTATATTTAAACTTTTACCCCTATGTATATGAAATACTATTAAAACGTAAATAGCTAAATCCCTAATTTCTAATTCTCAATAGAACTGTCGTATGTCTATAGCTAATGGCATTGGCAGTCGTTTTTGGCTTCTAATCAGGAAAAGCTAGTATAACTAATAGAGACAGTTTGAACTATGCATTTGACCGTTTAGTATTGATTGTTCAAAAAAAATTTATTTGGGTTAGATGATAAACCGCACAATAACCGTCCGATAATTATCAATTTGATACCAATCCGTCGATTGTCTTATTGGATGGCTAGCAGATTACTATATTTATAATTCGATAACCGATAAGTTGAACCGTTAAGCGTAATTATCTACCTGATCCGTCCAATAAGCACCCCTAATTAAAAGTGAATTTAATGCATTATTGAATAATCAGACATGAAAATTGGTACCACATGACCCCACAAAAAAATTATTTCTTGCAAGTGGTTATACATGTCAAAGAGAAAAAAACTGATGGGATAATCGATCGCTACAAGGCTCATCTTGTGCAAAGGGGTTTACACAACACCCTGGAATTGACTTTCACGCTACATTTAGTCTGGTTGTCAAAACGACTACTGTGCGCTTGGTGCTTTTAATTGTTGTCCAGCAGAATTGGCCCCGTCAGTTTGATGTCAACAACGCATTCTTACATGATAACCTAGAAGAAAAGGTCTACATGATCCAACCTCCAGGTTTTGAAGACGAGCAATTTCACTAACATATATGTCTCCTAAAGAAATCTATATACGGACTCAAGAAAGCTCCTCGGGCTTGGTACAATGAACTTAAGACGTTCCTTCTCTATTTGAGATTTGTCAAGTCGGAATTTGATACATCACTTTTCATTCGCATAGTGTCGAACAACGTGTTGTATTTTGATGGCTTATGTCGACGATATCATCATCACCTGAATCCATAGCTTATATGTAAATTAGGTGATCTTTTGTATTACTTGTCATTTTTCAATTAAGGATATCAGAAATCTTAATTTTTTTCTCAGAGTTAAGGTGGTTCGTGTTGCAAATGGAATTACTTTATCACAGTCCAATTACATCAATAAAATCCTCTCTGAAGAAAATAAGAAAGACTATAATTCAACAAAAACTCCAATGAGTTCCAGTGAAGTGCTTCAACAAAATGATGGAGCGGAACCAACTGATGCTACTTGCTACTTGCTACAAGAGAGTTCTTGAAAAACTCCAGTACTTGTTGTTTGCTCATCCAGACAATAAGTATCTAGTGAACAACTAATCTTTATTTATGCACTCCCCATCTGAAGTATACTAGAAAGCACTCAAACGAGTATTCAGGTATCTTCAAGGAACACTATAGTTTGGTCTTCACATTCAAAGTGATAATAATTTCAAGCTACACATGTATCTGATGCGGATTGAGATAGAGATGCGAGTGATCGAGCCTCCACTACTGGTTACATACTGTTTTTTGGCCAAAATCTATAAGCTGGTCATCTAGGAAACAAAGAATAGTTGTTCGCTCATCAACCGAAGCAGAGTATCGAGCGGTTACAAGAGCACTTGCTGAAACAAATTAGGTGACGAATCTGCTAAAATAACTACATGTTTCACTTCCACAAGCACCAACTATTTACTGTGACAATGTTGGTGCAACTTGTCTGTGCGAAAATCCAGTATTCCATTGTTGCATGTAATACATTGCGGTGGACTTTCATTTTGTTCGCAAGCAAGTCCAATAGAATCAAGTTCACATTGTTCATATTCATACTGCAGATCAACTCGCGGATACTCTCACCAAAGCGCTACCAAAGCCAGCCTTTGACAGATACTTGTTCAAGCTAGGCGTTGTTACACACTGCCTACCTTGAGGGGGGCGTATCAGAGCACAAGTCAACCATCTGGTAGTTTACTGCTTTGATCACTTCATTAGCTAGTAGTTAGGATTTTGTTAGTCCTTTATTTTCTCAAATAAATCGCCTTATTCAAGGAGTTTGTTCAACAAGTAGTTTAGTCCTCCTCTTTCCGAGGAGTTTAGGGAATTAGTTTTTCACTTTTGTATTTAAAGGCTGCTTTGATTCAATAAACACATCAACTTTTTGTGTTTCTCTTGTTCTTATAGCCAGTACGTATTTTATCTTGATTCTTTGAACTAAAAATCATAACTTTAGGACAATTCAGTATATTTTTGTCTCGAAAAATTGGACTAGAAAACTGAAATTCAAGACGTACTGGTTAATTCATAAATAACAACCCTTTACAATGGCTATAGCCTACATAGGGTCATTTCAACCAAATTTTCCTATTCCAATTGCCTGTATGGAGTGGGGAGAAATTTAAAAATAGCCAGATTTACAGGTGGTCGTTCAAAAATAGCTCAGTTTCAAAAGTAATCGAAATTTAGCCACTTTTTATGTAAAGATAAATTTGAACGAAAATACTATTCAAATTCCGGAAAAATACTCCAACATAATTTACTGGAGTTCCAGTATAATATACCGGTCCAGCATAATATACTGAAGTTTAGAGCACCGGTGCTCCAGTCTCCAGTATATTATACTAGAGTCACCAAAGTATACCGGTCCACCATAATATGCTGGAAGTTCATACACAGGTGCACCGAACTCTAGTATATTATGCTGGACCGGTCTCTGTTGCAGCAAAATAATGGCTATTTTTCATTGACTTGGTAAACGCTTGCTATTTTTGAATGACCAGTCCGAAAACTGGCTAGACCGTGTTATTTTTACTATAGAGTGAAGTCTTGAATTTAACG